CGAGCTGCTCTGGATGTCACCTGCATCGCCGTTGGTTACCTGAGGGATCTGCTGACTGAGGGCCGCCTTCAGCTTCTGCAGGTCAGAGGTCAGGTCAACATCTATTACTAACTTCTTTGCAAGAAGAATATACCTAGTTTTATCTGCTTGCTTTGGGTTGAATTTCACATCTACCTGCCCTAAATGTCACATTCAAAACACCAAACTGTGATTGGCCATGTTAAATGTCAGTCGGAGGGCCCTTTCTGATTAAGTGGGAGGTTCTGGCCACAATGAGCTGCAATGCTGCAATGTGCAACAGACTGAAATCTGCCTATTTGCATAGCGTTTAACCATAAAACCTCGCTCTCTTCAGCATGTCTGTCTATAGTTCCAGCAGCGAAATGAGGAAAACATGGTGCTATCTTTCTCCCTCTCTCTCTGGGATCAGGAGGCTAAACTACATTAGAGAGAGGCGAGAACTGAAGATTAGAATAATTAACTTCTGCGGAAAACCAGAGGCAAGGATTAAAACAACATATTCATCACAGCTTTAAACAGATGCTTCCCTCAGAGCTCTTCCACAGGAGTAAGAGCTGTCGTAGCTAATTCCCTATTCCCTGGAGATGCCTGTGATTTTCTCTTGTCAGGGAAATCTGCCTTTCCCTGGCGTACTGTAGCGTGTGCAGCATAGAGACCTCAGCGCCAAGAGCTTTTCTCTTCACTATGAGCAACCCCCGATAATGACAACACTAGGGTTTGACGCAGTTAAAAAAATTGTCAATATTTTTTCAGTATTTTGGTGATATTGACTCTCAATAGCCACTGCACTAACATTGATTCAAAAGTTTAAAGAAGCATTAAAATGATTTATCAAATGCATCTAAATAATTTACTGAAAATTTAATTTAAAAACTAAATTAAATTCATTAATAATAAAAATTATATACTTTTGTGACAATGAAGTGTTGATTACATGGAAGCTTTAAATAAGTAAAACAAAAAATAAAAATAAGAAAATAAAGCTAAACAAATATTTTTTAAATAAATATAAAATAGTTTAATTTAAAAAAAAAAATGTTAACCAAAACATTTTACAAAAACATGTTAAAAACCACACAGGGACTTCTGTGAACATTTGAGCAATAATGTAGATAAACTAGTGCTGTCAAACAATTAATCGCATCCAAAATAAAAGTTTTTGTTTACATAATATATGTGCGTGTACTGTGTATATTTATTATGTATATATAAATACACACACATACAGTATATGTTTTGAAAATATTTACATGTATATATTTATATTATATAATTTATATTAAATATATAAACATAACATATTTTTCTTACATATATACATGTATGTGTGTGTATTTATATATACATAATAAACATACACAGTACACACACATATATTATGTAAACAAAAACTTTTATTTTGGATGCGATTAATCGTTTGACAGCAGTAAGATAAATCAATAAATTTAAATGTCTAATCCTCATACAGTTTGTGCAGTGTTATCTTAGCATTACTGAGACACAATTATTGTTTTTATTATTATTTTGAACAAGTTTTTATATTAGTTATATTTTCTGTTTTCGTTTTAATTTTAGGATTTAATAGGTTTTAGGTTTCATTTTAATTTTAAGTTTTAGTAACTGTGTCTGTCATTTTTTGTCATTTTTTATGTCTATACAGATTTCATTCATTTTTATTTCAGTTTTAGTTATATTAGTACATCAAGTTAAACTAAATTTAGTTTATTTAGAAATGCTACCTTGGCAACCCTCTTATATATGTATATATAAAGTCGCACTAAATATGTATTTTAACATTTTATTTCAGTTAATGTGAAACAAACACAAACAGAAATCCAGTCTTCAGAACGACAGATGCAGAGAAGTTTTATTTCTCCATACATAGTTCTTCTAAGCTGACTTGGTTTTTTAAAACCCTTTGTGTAAGTAAGAGTTTTCAAAATTAAAAAAAGAAAAATTATTTTAATCAGCAAGGATGCATTAAACTGATCAAAAGTGACAGGAATTATACACCGTTAAAAAAAAATTATATTTCAAATACATTTCTGTTAAATAAAGAAATAATGGTTTTCGCATAAATATTGAGTAGAGCAACTGTTTTCAGCATTAATAATTTTAAAAAAAAAATGTTTTTTTGGATGCGATTAATCGTTTGACAGCAGTAAGATAAATCAATAAATTTAAATGTCTAATCCTCATACAGTTTGTGCAGTGTTATCTTAGCATTACTGAGACACAATTATTGTTTTTATTATTATTTTGAACAAGTTTTTATATTAGTTATATTTTCTGTTTTCGTTTTAATTTTAGGATTTAATAGGTTTTAGGTTTCATTTTAATTTTAAGTTTTAGTAACTGTGTCTGTCATTTTTTGTCATTTTTTATGTCTATACAGATTTCATTCATTTTTATTTCAGTTTTAGTTATATTAGTACATCAAGTTAAACTAAATTTAGTTTATTTAGAAATGCTACCTTGGCAACCCTCTTATATATGTATATATAAAGTCGCACTAAATATGTATTTTAACATTTTATTTCAGTTAATGTGAAACAAACACAAACAGAAATCCAGTCTTCAGAACGACAGATGCAGAGAAGTTTTATTTCTCCATACATAGTTCTTCTAAGCTGACTTGGTTTTTTAAAACCCTTTGTAGGAAACCATGATGTGGCCCGAAAGCAGTCGAGCGCGAGAGTTAACAAACGCCCCCCACAGCAGGTGAGGTGTGTAACCATGGCCACAGGCACGGAGGACGCATTAATTTTCATGAAAAAACAAGAAAAGAGCATTATTTTAACAGCCATCCTCGGCAGACCAATCTATCTAGCAAATTAGTTTATAGAGCAACACCCTTCCCGAACTCCACGTCTCTACACGACTAGAAGGAAATTATTCACGTGGAACGAGTCACGCAAGGGCTGAGCGAACGACTGAAAGAGAAAAAGAGAGAGAGAGAGAGAAACAGAGGGACTGTGAACGATGTGTGCGGGGCCAGTCAGATCCATATTTCATATCTGCCATCGGAGCCCCATCAGAGCAGTAGCCCTCCATCTCGAGGGCTTTATTCAACCATCTGCTCCTTTATTACTTATCTTTATTTTGTAACTAATTAACAGCATAATCTTCTAAATTCAGCAAGTTAATTATCATTATTGTGGTCTTTGCAGCATCATCAGTCCTTGTAAAGTGCCGTGTCTGTGTGGCAGGAGAGAGAGAGAGAGAGAGAGAGAGAGAGAGAGAGAGAGATGAGGGGTGTTTGCTTGACGAGGGCTCATTAGATGTTTTCTGATGAGTTGAGGTTTTGTGTGTGTGCTTCCTGTAGATGGAGGTTATCTGGAAGGTGTATGTGTATGAATATGTTTTATGTGCATATGTGAGTATGCTGATGTGGTGCATGTTATGAATGTTTGGTCATGGGGTAGATGTGCATTCGTTTGGATGCATGGATGCAAGCAAGTACTTATTTGGCCATATGCATATAAATAAATAGCTTAAAAAATAAGTCTAATTTCTTAGCAACAGAGTTAGTAAAATCAGGTCATTTCAAGAGCTCATGTTAAATATTATGTGGCATTTTATTAAAATTTGGGAAATGACTGAATACAGTTTAACAACTTGACTTTTTGATGATTTTTTTGAAGAATGCAGGGTTGCAGACTTAGCCCCTACTGAGTGATAACTTAATTTAGCCCTAAACCTGACTAGTTTAAGTCAGGTTGACTAGCGCTCTTCTTCGTTGTCTTTTTTCTCTATCAGATATTTTAGTAATCATCATAAACTCTAAATCATTTGAAAGCTTAAAACCTCAAAATTCATCCTGTGAAAACCATTTTGCAATCGGACACTGTGTTACCATGGAAACTGTACTTTAAAAGCTTTTAGCGGTCTTCTCCTCCTTAGTGGGCGGTGTCAAGTGTCATATTACAAAATGTATTACGGTCTTTTAGAATCAAAACTTTTTATAATCTTGGAAAGGTCTGAGTTTCCATATCCGGTGGTTATTTTGTGATAGAAGTAATATTGACAGAGAAATTTAGACGTGTGACAGAAAAATGCATAAAAAAATTCAATGGAGTTGGTGGCACCCGGTGGCTGTTTGTGGTATAATGCTCTAAATAAAATCTCAAAGGAACCTCAGATTTTTTTATATCAACTTCAAATTTGGAACATAAATTATTTGGACATAAGGCTTTAATTTTAAAGCAATTTTGGATTTAAAAATATTTTGTAAAATATTTATTTTATATAAAATAAAAAAAATTGTACAGTGCATTTTCTTTACATTTCTTTAAATTTAAACTTATATAACTTTTTGATACTTTAATATTTTGAAATGTTTTTACTTCTGCAGACTGTCTTCTCAAAAAAAAAAAAAAGAAAAAAAAAAGAGTGCAACCTTAGGTCTTAGGATCCAAAGCGTTCATGAATTATGACAATTTAAGCCCAAATTTTGGTCTGTAATAACTAATAAATGTATAGTTCCCACATATTAAAGAAGAAAAAACATTTGTTTGATAACTTTTTTTACAATAACTTTAGGGACAGGGTTAAATGGTTGCGTTTGAGAGATGCAGATGGCATACAATTTAAAAAATAATGAACATTTACATAGACTGCTGGTCAAAAGTTTGGAATAATTAATATTTTCAATGTTTTTGAAAGAAAGCTCTTCAGAATTCCTTCTAATAATCATTTTCTGATATGCTCAGTTAATAATAATAGTTTTTATTTTCATCAGTGTTGTGCTGCTGAATGTTTTTGTGAAATTATAAATTGTTTTAAGATTTTTTAATGAATAGAAAATTCAAAAGAACAGCATTTATTTAAAATGGAAATCTTTTATAACATTAAAAATGTCTTTACTGTCACTTTTGATCAATTTAATGCAGCCTTGCTAAACAGAAGCATTTGTTTCTTTCTTTCTTTCTTTCTTTCACTTACCCAAAACGTCACAAAAAATATTAAGCAGAAAAAATAAATAAATGTTTGTTGAGCAGCAGATCATCATATTAGAATAATTTCTGAAGGATCATGTGACACTGAAGACTGGAGTAATGATGCTGAAAATTCAGCTTTGATCACAGAAATAAATTACATTTTAAAATATATTTGAATAAAAAACAGTTATTTTAAATTGTAATAATATTTCAGAATATTACTCATTTTTTTACATTTTACATCACAGGAATAAATTACATTTTAATACATATTCAATTACAAACCAGTTGTTTTTAAATTGTAAAAATGTTTAACAATGTAACTATTATTACTGCATTTTTATCAAATAAATGTGGCCTCTGTGAGAATAAAAGACTTCTTTGAAAAACATAAAGAATCATAATTTCTCCACACTTTTGGCCAGTACTGCATGTTCAAATTTCTCTACAAACATGGAAATAGCTGATCTCTAGATTTCAAAGTTCATGTCAGCATCCACTACTTCAACAGTCCAGCCAGATGCCCTCTTGTGCTCTTGTACAGGAACTACAGAAAGCTCAATGTTGTTGTGTCAGTGTTGTGGACTGTACATCCTCAGTCCCTCTGAGCTGAAGGAAAATCTGCTTACACTAAAACATGCTTGTAAATGAGGTGCATGTGGATGCATATGTAAATGAGCGGGGCAGAAATTACCATCTTGGCTTCTGATTGGACAGGCTGTGGAGAGGAGGGGCCAGGGATTCCAGGGACACTAGGCACTAAGGTGACTGGTCTGACAAGCTGAAAACACACACAGACACCACAGAAAACATCAATGCATTGTCTCCAACACACTAAATGAGATAAATAAAAGAAGCAAACAGAACTAAATAAGACACAAAGGGCTCAGCCCATATCTGTGGCTAAGCGGCTACTATGAGCAATGAAAACAAGAAAACAAAAATGTACCATGTACAATAATGTATCAGATAATAACACCACAGCATTTTTATATTTCCGTAAAAAAATAATAATAAAAAGGGTCTCCTGCCAAAAACAAAATCCAGTAACACATTATTTTAAGGTGTCCTTGTTAGACAATACATGTACTTACTATTATAATAACAATAAATTATGCATAATTACATGTAACTAACCCAAAGCCAAGCCCTAATCCTTACCCTAACCAAATAGTAAGTACATGTAGTTACTTAATAGTACTTAAAGGGGTCATATGATGCGATTTCAATTTTTCCTTTCTCTTTGGAGTGTTACAAGCTCTTGGTGCATAAAGAAGATCTGTAAAGTTGCAAAGACTAAAGTCTCAAATCCAAAGAGATATTCTTTATAAAAGTTCAGAGTCAGCCACACCCCCCTAAAACGGCTCGCTTTAAATATATAAAATATAAAAACACTTTAAATATAAAAAACTTACTTACAGTCCTGTGAGTCAGAACAGAAGGCATTGTAGTCTTCTCTACCAGGTTCAGGAAACAGTCCTCAGTAAAATGCATGCACACACACTAATATTTGGTTTGAACTGTTCTGGAACAGTGTTGTAAATACAACACTGATTTCTATTTGCGTCCTCTTTTGGAAGGCCAAACAAAGTATTTTAGCTTTCGCAACGAAACACACAGCGTCTCCACGACATGGCGACAGCAACAACAATACTACAACTGTAACAAGGACTTCTTAAAATAAAGTGTAACCTAAATCCTATATAAAACACTGCAGTAGGTATTAGGGAATATATTTCTTAGTTTCTTTTTTCCCCATCTCTCTTCTTTCCTCCTGCTGAAAGCCTACGGGACATAATCATATGCTGCTCAGTGTTCCACACAGATCATCAAGCACACACACACACACACACAAACACACACACACAGGGTCTGAACTGCCCCAAACGCGTGTGTATGAGTGATAATGTGTCTCTGCATACATTACCGCACACCTCACAGGCTGACGTCATGAAAGCGGCGCAGTGTCCTTCATCCACCAACACACACTTAAACACACTCGACGCACTGGGGCCGTGTTTAAGAGTGCTTAGATCACTTCCCAGCACACTCATGTTGGATTTGGGAAACCTGTTTACATCTGGTTAGGGGACAGATTGCTTTTTACACATGTAGTAACATGCGTCGCAAATGTGACTCCTGTGACCACTTGATTTGGAGGGGAGGGTTTTTAAAGAAAGGAAAACATCTGAATCTGAACATTCAGTGTTGTTCTAGTCAAGCCTCTGTGTTAACTGTACTTTGGATGTGTGTGTGTGTGTGTGTGTGTGTGTGTGTGTATAACCATAAACGGCTGTGGATCACATCTCTGACAAACAGCGGTCAGGACAAACCCATCTACTACGTCATAATTCTGCAGAAATGGAACACAAAGGAGATGACCTTAAAATGTCTAATTAGCCAAAAAACAAATCTGCCCTCTACAGGCATTTTGGACGTGAAACAAAAACTCCAAAACCTAGTGAGCTGCCTAATTATAGACAGCATTTTAAGGCATCACAGGTGCATTCGAAAGGCTTTTCCAATATTAGGCTGCTTTCTAATATACCTTTGTTTAGAAATTCTATGCCAAATGTCCTTCACAGACAATTTCAATTATACTGTTGTCAAGGTTTTTAATGTCTAGTATTTTCCACCCTCTCTCGGACTCTTAGAATTAAACAAGTCATATCATGGAAAAATATATTACAGAGTTTACTGTACTGAACACTGTAATTCTCTGAACTGTTAACGTGTCAAGCTTTATGGTGTGTTTCTGGCTGTGTAGCAGCCTTCTGAAAAGTATTTTTTAACAATCCCTGATCATGTCAGTCTGATCTTAACAGCACACATCTTGTTATCAGGGGTTGGTGGTTATGTTAATGAGCTCATGGTTGTAATGCCTATGAAACTTTTTAAATGACCTATTTTGTTAAGTCAAAACCATGTCAAACTTTTTGGCCCTTGTTTTAAAATAAGCACAGTTACGGAGAGACATGGAAACTATGGGAGAGGAGAGAGTGCAGCGGGACTGGGTTAAAGGATCTCGAGTCAGGACTCAAATTCTATTTGCAGCATATGTTGAGGCCGCTCACAAGGCTATGCCTCCGACACCATGTCAATTTCTGAATTGCCCATTTTTGTTCCAGAGTTTTCACAGGTTGTATCTACATAGCCAGTACCAGACGTTTATTTAAAAAAAGCAAGGAAAATCATATTTACCATGTAATGATCTCTTAAAAAACGAACATGTTCACTGGTTTAAAGGGTTAGCTCACCCAAAAATGAGTATGCTGTCATTAAAGGGTTCATGATGTGAGAAACCAAATTTCCCTTTGATCTTTTGATACAGAAGAGGTCTTTGTATGCTTAATACATCCGGCAAGTTTCATAACTTAAAATAGCCCATGTGACATCAGTGGTTCAACTGTAATGTTATGAAGCTACGAGAATACTTTTTGTGTGCAAAGAAACGTCAAAGCGCCGGCTCCTGCAAAAAGTATTATTATAGCGTCATAGCATTGCAGTTGAACCACTGATGTCACATGGACTATTTTAACAATGTCCTTACTACCTTTCTGGGCCTTGAACGTGGTAGTTGCGTTGCTGTATTTGCAGGGTCAGAAAGCTCTTGGAATTCATCAAAAATATCTTAATTTGTGTTCTGAAGATGAACGAAGGTCTTACGGGTTTGGAAGGATATGAGGGTGAGTAATTAATGACAGAATTTAAATTTTTGGGTGAACTGTCCCGTTAATGATGTAAACTCATTGCCCAGGAGCTTTCTCTACACACTAGAGAGAGAGGAGTGCGTGTGGGACACTCACAGGAATGGCAGTGGGTATGTGCACGCTGGAGCTGGCGATGGTGGCTGGAAAGGCGACTGGCATCGTCTGACCGTTAGGCAGCTGCAGCAGAACCGGAAACGTGCCGGACACCGGACTGAAGACAGACAGAGAGATGGGGCAAACAGAAACAAAATTCATAACAAATGTTACATTAAAATAATTGAAGTACAGAATTTATATGCAAAGGCTCGTAACATAAATAAGCTACAAAAACAAGCTATACATGCTTTAAAGTCAACATGAAACAGCAATTGCACAGTATTTTACTTTTGTAATGTGACATTTTTAATGAGGAGAAACAGGACGGGAAATATTTTTTTCCATCAAGAAATATATTAAATGGAAAATAATAAATGTTTCTTATCAGAACTGAGTCAGAGGTGACTAAGAGTCAATCACATTCACAATGCTTATTTTTAATATCTATAGTTATTTGCTACTGTAACTTTTTTTATTTTTATATTATTTTGGATGCAATTAATCATTTGACAGCACTAATATATATATATATATATATATTATACACTGCTGTAAATTACATAAAAACTATTGGCAAGATTTAAAAAATAGAGATAGAAAACTGTTTAGGGCAGAGCAATTATTACATTTTAATTACATATTACAAACTTTTTTGTGATAAATCATGCAAAAAATAAAAAGTGTATTAAAAGCAAACAGTGTCAATCATTTTGTGTTCATGTTGGCTTTAAGTGATAAGAACATAAACAACAACAGCTAGAATTTTCTCTTCAACTGGTGTGTGAAACAAAACAAAAGGCTCAAACAAAACCTGTCTGATGGCCGAGCACTTGTCAGTTCTATGATGTAAAAGTAAAGGCACATGGATCACAAGCAACTGAAACTAAATCATAAATTCTCCAAGTAAATGAGTGACGAAAACCAAACACCGAATGAGGCGTGAAAGGAAAAAATGATGGCAAACTAAGAGAGGCGCAGAATAAGTAACGTTTAGAAGTTACTTACACTATCGGTCTACTAGAGGATGGGACCTGGGTTATAACAGAGCTAGATGTTGGAGATGGGAGAGCTCGCTGAATAACAACACCAGCCTCATTGCTGGCCAGTAGTACATTGGCGACTTGGAGGGAGGCAGGACGGACTATAGTGGATGGAGGCAGAGAGGTCGGCTGCAAAGAAACCTCCTGAAAACACCACACGAGAGCCAAGCTGCATCAAGCGCTCACACAAAACTACACTGATCTCCATTACTGTGCTTGTAGCTTTTACATCACAGGGAACACATACATTATTCATCTGCGAATTAAAAGACTGCAATTTGTAGTGATCTACAGTTGATGGATGACAGAGGGCATAAAAGAAATCAGTCTCAAAAAATTACTTCACTGCAATCAAAAGTTTGGGAGTAGGTTTTTTTTAATGCTTTTAAAGTTAAGTCTCGTATGCTTTCCAAGGCTGCATTTATTTGATAAATATTATTACCATTTAAAATAATGTTCTACTTTAATATTTTAAAATGTAATTTATTCCTGTGATTTCAAAGCTGAATTTTCAGCATCATTACTCCAGGCTTCAGTGTCACATGATCCTTCAGAAATCAGTCTAATATGATGCTGCTCAAGAAACATTTCTGATTATTGTTATCAATGTTAAAAACAGTTGTGCTGCCGAAAATTGTGGAAACTGTGATGCTTATTTTTCAGGATTCTTTGATACATAGAAAGTTCAAAAGAACATTGTTTATTTATAATACGATTTTATCAATTTATTGATCAGAAGTTACAGTTTATGTATCAATTTATTTTTTTTATAAAAAAAATAAAAAAAAAACTTACTGACCCCAAACTTTTGAACAGTAGGGTAACTACTGTAATTAAGAAATATGTATATTTTCAGCATTTTGAGAGTTCACATTAGAGACCATGAGTAAAAAAATCATGCTTCTGGAGATCACAGAGCGCTCAAAGTGAATGTTTATTTATTAAAACTGTTTCAGCTTCAATCATAAAGTCAGAATCAGCGTATTTGCTGACTTAGGAAGGAAGTATCATCTTTCTCACACACTCTGGCCAACAAAGAGATTTCTTCATAGAGCTACGGGAAGGAGGGACATTTTTTATTTTTTTGTATCTCTTTGAAGAAATGTATTTTCATCTAAAAGCCAGTAGCTCTGGGACAAGCTACATTAAGCAGCAAACACCTTTCACTTGTGGAATGAGGGGAGAAGGCAGTCACACAAACCTAGACTGCTAAAACATAGGCTATAGTTAGGGAAGACCCACAAACTACGAATTACTGACAACACAATTGTGCACAATATGAGCCTAGGATCCTTGAGGTGGACTTTGCTCTACTACAAGCTCCTTTGCATGAAATATTCTTCAAGTAACTACCACACATAGAGGACCTAAAAAAGTCCTACCTATTACTGCAGCTCTCTGTATAGCAGAGTACTGAATCTCACCTTGTCGTCAGTGGTGGTCGACTCAGGGTGGGGACGGGGGCTGTCTCGGTGGGACTCGATGGGTGTGTGCTCCTCTATTTTGTTTCGAACAACAGGAGTCGCAAGAGGAGACAAGTCCAGAGGCAACTGCAATAACAACATGTAGATCAATGTTTGATTACGCGCATATATCACAAAACAAGCAAGGGAGGAATGTGCTTTTATCCACTGGGATTGAAAAGTATTTTAAAATGTTATGTTAAATTTTTGATTTTGATGGTTATGCTGACATTTGGTGCAGAAAATTGCATTTCTAGTATATTCCACAAATAAAACAGCAAGGAGCACTTTGAATTAAATCTGAAATTTTGAAGTAGAAAGATTGACATTGTATTTTCTAGTAAAAACATACTCCAATAATCTTTGTTTGTTGAATTTACAATTTCATGCATCATGCAAAATAGGACCAGGAACTTACTAAAAATCTTAATGTTTTTTTTGTTCTAGACATTTGTGTTACAATGCCTGTAAAACCCACTTTCACCTTTAATCCTAATAAACTTGTATTACTTTTATTAGTAACATTTATAATGTTACAAAAGATTTATATTTCAAATAAATGCTGTTCTTTAGAACTTTCTAATCATCAAATAATCCTGAAAAACATATAACAGTATATCCACAAAAATATTAAGCAGCACAATTGTTTTCAACATTGATAATAATAATCATGTTTCATATTAGACTGATTTCTGGAGGATCACGTGACACTAAAGACTGGAGTAATGATGCTGAAAATTCAGCTTTGCTTCACAGGAATACATTACACTTTTCCAATTCAAATAGAAAACAGTTATTTTAAATTGTAATAATATTTCTCTATATTACTCTTTTTGCTTTGGTGAGCATAAAAAGACTCCTTTCAAAGACATAAAAAAAATCTGATCAACCCCCAAATCTTTGAATGACAGTTTATTTGCAAAATGATCACACAGCTGAGTTATAAATTGACATCTTTACCTTTTTAATGTCATCCTCCGTGGCCTTTTTAAAGTCATGCTCGAACGGGCTGGTGAGCTCGTTAAACAGCCCGACCTCCTCGCAGTTCTTCAGGAAGCGGGTCGGTGTCGGTGTCTGGTCTGCAACAGTAGCCCATAAAGCCATGAATAATAATAGTTCATGTTCATCTGCTTTTATTGTGAACCGCTGACTTTTCAGACTCACCAGCGATGATGACACTGTCATTGCGTGCTGGACCAAATCTCAGGGTCATCTCATGCTTGTGTTTATGCACCGCCAGGTGGTCTTCATTTGTGAATCGCTGTTGCAGACAGACAGTCATTATGTAGATGCATGAACCATACATAGTAGTATGAAACCGAAAATGGACAACAACAACAAAAAAGCATGTAACTTAATTGGAGTGTATATTTAAATATCTGTTAGTGCTTTAAGTGTGTAACAGTGATCACGTGCCTGTCCGCAGCCAGGAGCAGTGCAGAGAAATGGTTTATCATCACTCATATTCACAGCTTCAGTCTGCCACCTGATAACATGGAAAAAAGACAAACTTGCAATTTGTCATTCATCAACAACATAATTTAAAGCCACACCTAAGAACAAAAACACGTGATTTATATATCAATCAGCATTATTCAATATCCATAATAATGTGCAATAGTAAGTATTATTCTCTGATACTGTTACTAAGAGCTTAATGAACGATGTTGTGTCAGACCAAGCTGTCAAAGCAGGTTTGCCAGGACATAAATACGGATTTTATAAGATTAAAAGCAGAATAACAGGGATTATGCATCACTATCTGTATAATATAAATGTAAACACTTGGCATTGGCCTCTATGTGTTTATTAAACCACTCAGTAACTCACATACAGTAATGATGCTGTAATGATCAGGCTGATGCTCATTGATAACAGCACAACCTATTGTCACTTTCTGCTTTAAATCCCTCTAAACAACACTGTATCTCTATTTTCCACAGAGCCAAACTCAAAGCGCTTGTGTCTTTAACCACAAACCTGTGTATTTCCAGCGACACCAGGACTGTATCATCACAAAACAGGTTGTTTACATCAGTATCAGCAGGCTAATCAATGCTTAGCCTCATCTCTCATTTATTTCAATGGAAACTCAGCTAGCTGTTAGCATGCGTCGCCATATTAATAACAAAGAAACACCGACAAGCTTTGAATGTGTCATAAAAATGCATTTTAGGGCATATACATATTCAAACGATTCTGCTAGTCACCCGAAAGCTTGTGTAAAAAGGCGTGTTTGTTTATAATTACTGTGCGTTTACGCGCTTACTCACCCGCAGGCTGAACCCTGAAGAGCCAAAGCACACTTATACCACCTCTCGCGAGAGTTGGAAACTCCGCTAAACTCTTCAGTGCAGATATTCTCGCGAGAATTAGGTACTCCGCTCAACCCAGAGCCAAGCCCTTTAAACTCTGATCTCGCGATGAATAAATGCTCTGCTGAGCCCTTCACACTTCAAATCTCGCGAGTGATGAGCTCTGGTTTTGACAATTTAAACTCGTTTTATATCAGATTTAACACATTACTTTTTAATGTAATGCATAATATTTGTGCATAAGCAAAATATTTTTCACTGTAGCTCTCTTCACAAGTTTAGCGTCTTTTACTACGTGTTGGTATACCATGAAAACCATGCAAGTAATATTATGTGAATAAAAACAAATACAGACAACACAAAAATACGGTAAACTGTGATCTAAATTTATTTAATGCAATTTACAAAAGCAATTGAGGTTTTAATTGGCTTTCAACCAACTGCTATAAATTTACAGTCATACTGTTGACCAACAGTTTAACCCCTGAAAACATCTGAATGGGCCTTACAGTCTACAGACACAACATCATCCCTATTCTGATGTACAGAAAGTGCTATCAGGTTCTTTATTTCCATGATGAGTTTCAGCTTGATATGCCAGCAGCACCGATGGAGCGGTTGCTTTTCTCATTCAGTGGGCATGAACAGGATCGAGGGTTTAAATAGTTGAACAATTTTTAATTGTTACATGATTTAGTGGACTTTCTATTCATACATTTTCTCTCACAGAGACCGACAGCAGACGTTTTGGTAGCAACAGCAAAAATATGTAGTTACAACTGTACTAAATGCGTTTACGTAACTAGCAGATTTTCACATGGCGAACAGGATCAAGAAAGCAACCATCAAACAGAAGAGCCCCATGGCTTCAGACAGAGCAAAGCCCAGGATGGCGTAAGAGAAGAGCTGCTGCTTTAGAGATGGGTTCCTGCAAAATAACACACAACCATCTTACTGAATCTTGCTAACATGGAGAGACATTTGCAAACATCTGGACAACGTAAGATCCTTAATACTTCAATTACTTTGAAATGCATGTTTACTTTGTTGGAAACAATACAGCTCAAATTCGGGGGATAGTACTTTTTTGGGATACATTTTTTTTTTTTTTTTTTTTATTAAATTGATTGAAAGTAACAGCAAATTATTTCATACTCCTACAGAAAATTTATGTTTCAAATAAACGCTGTTCTTTTGAACTTTCTATTCATAAAAGAATCCTGGAAAATCAGTTTCCACAAAAATATTAAGCAGCATTATATTACTATATATTATATTACTATTAATATTTTCAGCATTGATAATGAGAAATGTTTCTTGAGCAGCAAATCAGCATATTAAACTGATTTCTGAAGGATCATGTGACACTGAAGACTGGAGTAATGATGCTGAAAATTCCGCTTTGATCACAGAAATAAATTAGATTTTAAAATATATTCAAATAGAAAACATCTTAAATTATAATAATGTTTCACAGTATTACTGCTTTTACTGTATTTTTGATCAAATAAATGCAGCCTTGTTGAGCAGAAGAGACGTCTTAAAAAAAGAAAAAAAAAAACGTACTAACCCTAAATGTAGTGTATAATAATGTAACATCATAAAATAATATATTATAATGTGAAATTAATACATAATCTGAAATTTCAATGTCTCTTACCTGGCATATCCGATGATAAGGCTCCCGAACACTGTTCCGATTCCAGCACCGGATCCAGCCACTCCCACGGTGGCAGCTCCCGCTCCGATGAACTTGGCAGCGGTGTCAATGTCGCGGCTCACAGCGCTGGTCTGGAAGCTCCTGAGGGCCGACTGAGGCAGGACCTACAAGAGGAAGAGAGGACTTACTTGACCTCTACACGACCCGAGTGTTCGGCCTGCCACCTACTGTCCCGTAACAGCAATAGCCAGAGAGCTCAAACATGATGTCTACTTCAATGACAAGAAATCACTTTTCTGACCGGGGCTAAATACCAAGTTCACAAGGAGCAGAGAAGTTATTACAATTATTTCAAATGCCTTAAAGAGACAGTCACACAAAAATGAAAAGTGTCATCATGTCATTACATTATTTTGTTAATGTTTGAAAACACATTAATAAGACCTGGGAGGTTTCTATCCTTCCATTGAAAGTCCAGGTAACCAAAACTAAGAATATTATCGAAAAAGCTCGTAAAGGTGTTGTGAAATTAATAAATATTAGTGCTAGGCAACGATCAATTGCATCCAAAATAAAAGTTTTTGTAAATGTGTGTGTGTACTGTGTATTTTTATTATGTATATATAAAGACACACACATGCATGTATATATTTATGTTATGTTTATATATTAAATATATGTATATAATATAAATTATATGAATATAAATATATAAATACATGTAAATATTTTCAAAATATATACTCTATGTGTATGTCTTTTATTTTGGATGCGATTAATCGTTGCCCAGACCTAAAAAGATATGAATAGAGCTTTTTAATCCAAGTCATATAAAGACATACAATCGCTTTATATGATGAACAGATTTAATTTAGGCTTAACCGAAGTATTTAGATTAGAGGTCGACCGATCGTGGATTTTGCCGATACCGATAGCTAGGTTGGACCACACTGGACGATACCGATTAATTAACCGATAGTTTTTAAAATGGATACTGAACAAAAACTAAAATAGTGCTTTATTAAAAAAAAACAGTACTGAATCATACTAGTAGTAGTAGTAGTAATAATAATAATAGTAAATGTTGAAATTAACACTCTAACAAGGAACAATACTTAAACGGCTTTCATTAATCTTAATGTTACAAATGGTCTCTTATTTTAAAGTGTTACCATTTCATTTCAACAGTCATGCTTAAAGATGCACATCTTTAAATATATACACAAAGGCCATAGCATTAAAATTATATACATATGGATATTGTATGTACAGTGGGTACGGAAAGTATTCAGACCCCCTTAAAATTTTCACTCTTTGTTATATTGCAGCCATTTGCTAAAATCATTTAAGTTAATTTTTTTTCCTCATTAATGTACACACAAAAACAGTTTATTTAATCACCAAACGGACACAAGTTTACTTCAAGAATGAACAATGAGGCATAGAGGAGTTTGAAGTTCGGTGTTTAAAAAACAGAGCAAACGGAAAGAGAAAGCGAGATCTATATTATAGCTCTATAAATGAAGCATAGACTTTACTAGAGCCACAGAAAGACAAACGTTTCACTGAAAATGCACAATACACAATTCATTATGTACATTAACCACAATTAACAACGACAAATATAATGTAATTTAATGGAAAACCATGTCAATGGCGCGGCAGGATTTTCTGTCAGCTGCATTTAAATTCACGTCTGAAGTTTCCCGCTCTGTTCAGCGTGCAGTATCAATAGCATGTGCTGTTGATTTCAACCACTAGAGGGCGCTCTCGCTCTGTGTAATGACAGCAGACCCTTCTCAGCCGCTCCAGCAACAGACGCAAGTCGGAAAACTATCGGCATGGATTTTTGCCGATAACCGATAGTTCCAGCAATCAACTATCGGTGCCGATTAATCGGCAAAACCGATACATCGGTCGACCTCTAATTTAGAACAACATGAGGGTGGAAAAATTATGATCATTTTTGCGCGAACTACCCAAGTAGCATGCTTGCAGTGGATCAGAAGAGCTCTATTTCAAAGAAGTAGATCAAGTTACACTTTATCTTTTGTGTTATTCTTACACTGATGCCTTGTACATCGTCTACAAAGCATGACCGTTAAGAGCTACTGTAAATGAAGAGAGATATATTGAAAATCAAAAGGCAGGTTTGACAATCACCTCTGGTTTGACCTCTGGTCTGGAAAGCACAGCAGCAGAAACTGGCCTGTACAGGGACCTGGATCCCACACGCACCTAAAACAGACACACACACACACACACACACACACAAATACACTGTGTTAATGGATTATAGAAGAATAACCTAAACAATTTTGTGAATTCAAACAGTGGTGAACAGTAGTTAACCGTCTTCTGAAAGGCATGTATTCTGGAAAAAGTCAGTTTCTGAAGCATGTACATAAGTTACGGCTCAAGGTTCGCTACAGGACAAATGTGTGCTGGCGGCAACACTGCATTAAGAAGACACATATATATATTAGGGGTATTAAGTGGTCTTCATATAGGACAGATCCACTAAAACTCATCACCGTAAGTGTGTTAAGTGTTAACCAACAAGGCCAATACCAACAACCTGTCTATTACAATGGGCTGCTAAGCTCCACTGTGCCCTTGATAAAGACAACTCCAGAGGGCTGCTCCTGAAATAAGTTACCCAAAGTTACCTAATAACTCAAATGAATCTATTTGAGGTGGCAGAGATACAACAGGACAAGACGTAGTTTTATGCGCATCTTATTCAATGCATATACAACAAGAAATACCAGACTGGGTGGCACAACCATCCACTAACACAGGAGGCTGACAAGATTAATGTGTTATTAACCAGCCCAGCGTTTGATCTTAACCTGTTAAGCGTTTTGCGAGCTCAAAACTTTGAAACTGAAGCAAAAGGTCAAAGGTAAACTATAACAGCGCGTGACGTTTTGCGTCAACGCTTTTAAACGCGTCTCGAAATGAATGAATTACTGAGGTCAGGTTGAGCCCGCAGGCCGCTTTCTCTCTCTCACACTCACACACTCACTCACACTCACACTCACTCACTCACACACACACACACACACACATTACTGTGTCCACTCTGGGGCAGATGGGACACTCTGCTCCACTACAATGACTCAATTGACTCTGTTGTTAATTTTATTCTTATTTTATCTCATATTGATCAGATGTATCAACTGACAGGGTTCCTTGTAAAGTTTACAGCTTTAGTTGAGCGGCTGTTTTCATTAAGAAAACATTTTGACACATGCTGAACCTGAATTTCAATCAGACCCATTGCCACAGGTGTATAAAATCAAGCACTAGACACTAGATCTGCATTTATCACACTCACACACACTCACACTCACACACAGTGTTTTTCTGAAGGAGACTTCACTCACCAGGGCAGGTGTGGAGACGAACTTCGCGCAGGTGAACATTTTGACAGGTGAGTGATTTTGAGCGGCCTGGGACTTCTGTA